TTCTATGATGAAAAATAATAAAAATTTTATATTGAAAAAAAAAAAGAATTAAACTAATGCAACAATGCTCTGTAATCATCATTAAACCTAATGCACAAAGAAAACAATTTAATATAGGCTATCTTAGTCTTGTGGGGAGGGAGGTATGACATATTTATTTCAGTCTCCAAAGCCTTCCTGGACAACCATGGCCTTTAAAAACTCGAAAAGGCTGGAGCTGCTCTAAGTCAAGCAAATTACACTATTTTGTAGGAGAGATAACCCTTTTTTAGACACTGGAAAGTAACTTTCTAGAGAAGTAGGGACCCTGGAGGAAGCCTATTCTCTCCCCCCCCCCCCACACACAATCCCTTCAATCTTACTGTGTGGGCAGTTATGAGTTGAAGTAGACAGTCTCTAAATACCCAGTTCCCAAGCCACATTAAGCTTAGTAGAAGTAGATCATAAGAATATGAAAGATATATGGGACAAAACAAGGCTTTTAAACTTATGAAACAAGAAAACAGACACATCTGAACTTAGCAAGCCTTAGTGGGTTAAATATTTGAAGGAATAAAACCACCATCACTATTTGTGTCCAGAAGAAAATATAAAGTTTTCTATAAATAAACTGTAGGTCTTTCAAAGAGGCATAAAGCAGGAGTGAAAGTGGACTTCCATTATTCTGTCATTTATTGCAAAATAGTCCTTTCATGTCAGGTTTCTTGTTCAAATTATAAAGCTAATACTCAAATAAACAAAATTCAACATGAAGTAAAGTTAGGGAGATGAGATACAAACGCAAAGTTCTTCCCTTAGGCAAAATAAATAAAATAAAATGGGAATGCCTATTGGAGGGAATAGTCAGATTGGGAATAGTTTATATGAAAATGAATTTGGAATTGTGTTAACCATAAGCAGAATATGGGTCAGTAATGTGCCATGCAACTGAAAAAGGAAATGCTATTATTAGCTACATTGTTATTTTACTTTATCTAAGGATCAGTACAGTTCTTGATTCAAATAACTATATTTTCAATTGGTCAGATGCCATCTAAAGTATTACATCTAGCTGAATAAATGTGAGATTATTTGCACTAGCTTTTGGCTCAGTTTAGGAAACAATTATTTAGTAAAAGGAAGAATTGAATAGTGAAGCCAATTACTAAGAAATGTGACAATCTCTCAATTAAATTACTAAGAAATGTGACAATCTCTCAATTTGATGGGTTCAGACTGAGGCTGGACATCCACCTAGCAAGAATGCTTTCATTTAGATTTTTACACTGAGCAAGAAATTGGATTCAGTGACATAAAAGCCTCGTAGTGAAATGACAAGAAAGGAACTTCCCGGATACCACAAGTTGTAGATGTCATCTAACTAAATAAGAAACGTTGATGTTTCTTATACATGTCCCCAGATCCTAGAACTTTAACCTATTAATGCAGTTCTTTCAGACTGTTTCTGAAGCACGAAGGCTTGTTTTGATACGAGACAGGCAGCAATTAAATTTAATATAATAAAAAAAAAACATACTCTGAATAGCTTCAATTACATAATCTCAATTCCTAGCCCGATGCGTTTTTACCAAAATTATTTGTTGGGGAAAGCTAATCATTCATAAAATTGTTCATGTTCAATGCACATACGAACAATCCACAGGTTAGCGAATTACTTTAGGAAGACTGATATAAACCAGCTGATAATATTTAACCTCTCCTTTATTTTTCTGCCAACACGGCAACACCGCCTATCCAGTAAGAAGGAAGGGGGAAAAAGTATCCAAGGCCGTAGCCGAGACAATCCCACGTAGATTAAGGATCGGTGTTTGGTTTCCCGGGCACTTCTGCGCTACCTGAATAACCTATTTTTTTTTATTAAAGATTTTATAAAATTTTACAATATAAATCCCCCCCTTCCCCTTCCCACCCTTCCACCCCCCTCCCTCCCCCTCCCTTCCCAGTGCCAATCACAGGGTTAACAATAACATAATCATACTCTAATTAACATTAATCAACTATTAAAATAACATATCTGTAACCTCCTTTAACTCTCTTTTAAACAATACAATTATTAAAAACAATAATAATAACAACACTTTAATAATTAAAAATAATACTAAATAAAATATTCTAACCTTTATACAACCATAATATTCCAAAATTTACTCAAAAACCAAATGATATTTTTTTAGCCCCATATTTACACTCAATATAATCTAGCCATCTTCTCCAAACCAAAATATATCTTTCTTGCGAGTGATCCTTCACATAAGCGGAAATCTTGGCCATTTCTGCTAAATTCGAGACTTTAAATGACCATTCTTCTATAGTAGGTAAACATTCCGTAACCTATTTGAACCTTATTATACAAGCCTCAGTCCAGGCTTTGTATAAAAAGGGAGACTTAGAATCATTACAAGAGGAGGGGAGAGAAACGCCCTATACCTAAGAATGGAAACGATAAAGATGAAGAGAATTTGTACAAAAAAAAAGAATACCCGCATCAAGAGCAATATCGCCCCATTTACCTCACAACTCGCATTAAGACTCCGTTTTTATTCCCGGGTCACCAGAGCCGGACACAACTATCAACCAAAGCAACTGAATTCTTATTCCCCTCCTGTTGTGGCGGCTCCAATGGCGGCACAATCAGCCAATCCGAAGTCCCCGACGGCAACTCGGCGTAGCCAATCAACGCTTTTAACGAGCGCTATCCTCCGCCCATCGCCCTTTTCGAATCGTTCATTTGGTGTCAATCAAACAATCGCTCCCGCCTGCTGGTTTGTCGTAACCAATGACCAAACCTCTAGTGAAATAAAACCGCCTTTTAAGCTTGCGCGCCCGCGCGTATCTCTTAAGGGTGGGTTTTTAAAAACGGGTTTCTTTTAAACGGCCTCAAGAAGCCCAGCTACTGCGCAAGCGCTAAGGTTAAGGCAAGGGGTGTAGCTCTTTCTGTTGCCATAGTAATCGCTTCTAAGGCTTCCAGCAAAGACAGCAGCCGTAATCGCAAACACCTTTGAGCAAACATAATTAGGAAAGGTCTGTTAATGACTTTACAACCTAGATACTGTAGTGGTTCAGAAGTAAATCTCAGGTACGTTGGCTGGGTTAGGAGCTCCATATTCGGGCCCTTCAAGTTCAGTTGGGGCTTAATCCCAGATAAGTGAGTATAGAATTGCAGCCTCTTTTAAATTGCTGCAAGACCAGCTCCGTAAATACCAACAAGAAGTAATTTGATAGTTGTTAATCTACTTTCTCTGCACCTACGTCAGATAACTAAGGACAGAAGCAGTGCTGTTATGTGTGGTTTGTAACACTGGAATAACCTGCCTGATTGAAACACTGCCCAAAATAAGAGTCAAGGTTTTCGTTCACTCTGAAGCAGTGTTTCTCAGCCTCAGCAACTTTAAGAAGTGTGGACTTCAAACTTCCAGAAACCCCCATCAGCCAGCATGAAGTTGAAGTCTACACCTCTTAAGATTGCTGAACTTGAGAAAACGCTGCTCTAAAGCTGGTGGTATTTGAGTCACCACTAGAAAACAACAGGTCACCATTAGAAAACAACAAAGAGATCTATCCTTCTTGTTTTCCAGGGGCATTACAATACACTAGATTCTGAAATCATTAGCATTAATGCAACCACAACCATTTCATGGCATTGTGTGAAAGTACCACCCATCTGAACATCAAGTTGATGAAGATTGGTCTAATTCTTATAACTTGTGTCCACAATAGGTTTTCATAGGCAAGGCAGCAAGGAAATTATTTCCCCTACAAAAAGTATATTGCTGTATATAGCACAAAAGACCTTTCGAATAGGCAATTTTGTCCTTTTACACAAGACTTTATGAAAATAAAAAGTCATTGTGTTGACTTGGAGAAAAATAATTTTCTGGCCATATTGAGTAAAGAAATTCTTAATTACAAACTAAGAATTTTAGGCTATGGAGAGCCTTGTGGCTACTTAACTGATTTAAGTTTTGTCAACTATTTTCTTTACCTGGCTTATTGTTTGAACTTTAAAATAAAAAAGGCCTTTAAAATTCAGTACTAGAATATTTCCAAAGATTTATGAGCTACATAGCTACATTACATCTCTCAATTTAGTGACTTCTCTAAAATCAACTCACTTCTCAAGAATTTTTACATTTATTTCAACATTTTGTATAGAAAATCCAATTGAAAAATGAGAGTTTCCAAGAATAGTACCAAATACCTGCTAAAAAATGTTCAACTTGCTATTTCGATGTTGTTTTATGCCCTCAAATATACCAAATAGAATTGGACCATAGAATTATTAAAGACAGAAGCACTTTCTTGTTAATCATCATACAATAGATAGGATTGCGGTGATTTGCTAAGAAATAGAATTAAAAATTTGCTGGGGGGAGGCAAATTGCGGCATCCAAAAATCCACCGTCTTAGGTTTTTAACAAACACTATTTATTGAATTTATGTATGTAAGCAAACTTATACGCCCCCCCCCCCAACTTTCACACAGGTGATTCTGGGCTGCTTACAATATTAAAAAAAAACGCAACACAAAAACCATACCCCCGCCCCGCATTAGAAACAGTGTTTCTCAACCTTGACCATTTTAAGGCATGTGGACTTCAACTCCCAGAATTCCACAGCCAGCAATGCTGGCTGTGGAATTCTGGGAGTTGAAGTCTACATGCCTTAAAATGGTCAAGGTTGAGAAACACTGAGGTAGTACAAGACGTATTATACCATATATTACAACACAAGAGTTGTTTCTCAATGAAATCGACATTAGCCAACACCCTTTAGATTTCCATCGAGTGAATCGAAGCTGTTCTTCCAAAGCGACCTTACTGGTTCCTTGACACCCGCCCATCTGCCCTGCCTGCCTTCACCGTAACTTTACTGTAATTGCCTTCAAACCGCTAACCCGGCCTCCCCCCCCCCCGGCCCCTCCAGGCCTTTCTCCGGGCTTCTCTCCCTCCCACATCAGCGAGAGCGACGGAAGGAAGGGAACCCGGAAGCGCTTTCGCTTGCTTCCTGGTGACACATTACAAGCCACCTCAGCCGGAGGAGTCGGCGGCTGGCTGTAGTCGTGGCCGGGTTCTTCCCCTCGTTTCCCTCCCTCTTTTTCGCCGGCGTATGTTTTGCCGTTCTCTCTTTGGGGCAACTGCCGGTCGCGTAACTGCTTCGCTTCTTCGCTTCCACGCTTTTGCCGCTCCTGCCTCCCTTTCGCCTCGCTTGCTGCTCCTCATGAAGCCGGTAGTCGTCTTCGTTCTCGGCGGGCCTGGAGCCGGAAAGGGAACCCAGTGTGCCCGCATTGTGGAGGTAAGGGAAGGAACTACAATTTTTAGCCTGCGGGGAATTTCAAAGAGTGCCGGCAACTTGCTTAGTCGGAGGGTAAAGACTGATGGGGCCTGAAGTAGTTCTTTCATGGTTTGCGGTCCGGAAGATTCTTAGAATACTGTATTGCAAATGATCTGGTGTCGGACCTGACGGGTTCAGCTACCCCAGGGGTAGGCAACCTTGGCTCTTTTATGACTCGTGGACTTCAGCTCCCAGAATTCTTTTTTTTTTATTATTCAAATTTTTATTAATTTTCAAATATTCAAACAAGATACAAATCTGGTATACATTAAACAAAAGAAAAAACAACCCCCCCATATCTATTCAGAGATGCTCAGCAGCCCCCCCCCCCGACCGCGTCCACCCTCTCTTTCACCCTTCCTACCTACTTCCCTCCTCCTCTCTTCCTCCTACCTACACCTCTCTCCTCCTTCCTCCTCTCAACTACCCTACACATCCCACCTCCTTCCTTTCCTCATCCTTCGGACGCAGTCTGGGGGCGCCAGCCGAGCATCTCATCTTCAAATACATTATTTCACTATAACATTTTAATATACCAACATTTATATTTACGTCTTAAATCCCCTCCCCCTTCCCCCCCCCCCGGACTTCCCGGAATCGAATACAGGGTTATGCACATGTCATCCCAGATCTAAATAAAACTACCCAGACATAATACAATCAAATATTAACATACTTTAACTCTAATAAAAAAATATCAACTTGAAATAAATATAAATATAAAATGTATATAATATAATAATAAAATAAAAACAATATAAAATCTACTCAAAAGCTATATAATATTTGTTCATTTCATACTTTCTCTGAATATAATCTATCCATCTTCTCCAAACCAGAATAATTTTTTCTTGAGATTGATCTTTCAAGTATGCGGAAATCTTAGCCATTTCTGCAAAATACGACACCTTCATTCTCCAATCATCCATAGTAGGTAATGCATTCTTCTTCCAGTTTTGAGCAACCAATAACCTTGCTGCCGTTATACAATACAACATCAAAACCATTTCTCTAGAATTTAAATATTCCATAATACCCCAAAGAAATAATTGTGGTGTGAATTTTATCTTTCTCTTAAAAATCTGTTGGATATTCCACCAAATCTTAATCCAAAAAGCTTTTACATCCCTACATGTCCACCAAATGTCATAATAAGTTGCATCTAAATTACCACATCTCCAACATTTGGGCTGTAGGTTAGGATACATACAAGACAACTTCTGGGGGTCCAAATGCCATCTATAAAACATTTTATAAAAATTTTCCCTTAAATTCTGCGCTTGAGTAAATTTCACATTTCTTACCCAAATTATTTCCCATGTATCCAACAAAATTGGTTCTTGAATGTTTTGAGCCCATTTAATCATACAATCTTTAACTAATTCTGTTTCAGAATCCAATTCTATTAAAACACTATAAATTCTCCTAATATGAGCTCTACCTTGATCTTTAATCTGCTTTATCAAATTCACATCCTCCAAAGTTATACCAAGCTTTTGATCTATATGCCACCTATCTATCAATTGACAATATGAGAACCAGGAATGGAGAATATTATCTCGTTTCAAATCATCCAATGATTTAAATTGCCAATCCTGCCCCCTCAGAATAAGTAAATCCTTATAAAAAATCCCCTCCAAGCTCCCAGAATTCTTGAGCCAGCATGGCTGGCTCAGTAATTCTGGGAGTTGAAGTCCATGAGTCATAAAAGCCAAGGTTGCCTACCCCCCTGAGCTACCCTATCAAAAACGGGTACTCCAGAACGGTTGCCAGAATTTTAGTGACTACCAAAAAAAAAAAAAAAAAAGCATAATTCAGTACATTCAGAAAACTCAACTTTTAGGGAAATGTGAGGTAAATGGGGCGATATTGCTCTTGATGCGTGTATTTATTTATTTTTTTACAAATTCTCTTCATCTTTGTTGTTTCAGTTCTTATGTATAGGGCGTTTCTGTCTCCTCCTTTTGTAATGTTCTAATATTATCCAAGCCTCAATGCAAGCCTTCATTGAGGCTTGGATAATAACGTTCAAATACTTTACTCAGGAAACGCAGAAACGTCTGGAGAAATCAAACTCCGATTCTTATTCTGCGTTGGATTGCCTTGACTACGGCTTTGGATACTTTTTTTCCCTTCTAACTGGTTAGGGTTAAACAGGAGGCTCAATATTATCAGCTGTGGTTTCTATCAGTCTTCCTAAAGTAATTCATCAATCTATAGATCAGTGGTGGCGAACCTATGCCACTAGTGCCAGAGGTGGAACTTGGAGCCCTCTCTGTGGGCACGCACGCTGTTGCCTCAACCCCGCCTCTCCCCGTAGCCCCCTCCTCACCAGCAGCCCCCCCCCGGAGAAGAGTCACCCCCGGGTGCGGCCCGTGCGGAGCTGTAGAGCCAAGCACATGGCATCTGGGCAGCAGATGATGCTGCAGGGTGCTGGTGGAGGACGTGGCCACCATGGCGCTGCAGGGCTGCCTGGGCGATCTGCGGCGTGCCATGGATGGCCCTGAGGGTGGGCGGGGTGAGGGTGGAACGGGGCGGGCGGAGCGGGGGCGGGGTGGTTTTTGGGCACTCGGTCTCTAAAAGGTTCGCCATCACTGCTATAGATTGTTCGTATCTCAACAATGTACATTAAAGAGGAACAATTTTATTCATTCCCCAGCAAATAATCATGTTAAAAACTTTTGAGGAAATTTGGATTGATAGTTTTATGTAGATTAAAGTTTGAAACTTGAAGATACTAGACAATTACCTTAGCAAATCTGAATGTTTTCTAATGGCGCATGAAAATGGCCTTTAATTTGTACACAGGGTATGGTCCTTTGAGATTGAGATACTGTAGTCAATAAATGCTATATCAATAGCGCTTAGACGTATGTACCACTTCATAGTGCTTTGCTGCCCTCTCTAAGCGGGTTACAGAGTCAGCATATTGCCCCCAACAATCTGTGTCCTCATTTTACCAACCTTGGAAGGATGGGAGGCTGAGTCAACCTTGAGCTAGTGAGAATCGAACTCCTGGACCGAGCAGTGAAAACAATTTACTAATTCTGCTTTAAATCTTTCAAGGTTGTCATTTTAGCAGTTTAGTATTTGCACCTATTTTGAATTTTAGCTTTATATTGATTTGCTTGCTTGCTTGCTTGTATCCTGCCTTTATTATTTTTACAAATAACTCAAGGCAGTGAACATATCCAACACATCTTCCCCCTCCTACTTTTTCTCATAATAGCAACCCTGTAAGGTGAGTTGGGCTGAGAGTGACTCAGAGTAATTGGCCCAAGGTCACCCAACTGGCTTTCATAACTAGCGGTACTAAAACTCCTGGTTTTTTTAGCCTGGCACTCCAACTAGGTTAACCACAAGGTTAACCACAAAGAAAAACTGGTGTTTCCTTTTTCCTCATATTGTTCTTTGTATCTTGTAACTTTGTTATATTTATGTCACAATAAATTTGAAGGAGAACTTCAGTTGATGCATATATGCATATTCTTTACTTACAAATTCTTCTGTTTTTTTATCAATAATTTCAAGATGTTTCCATTTTCAAAGAAATGTGATGGGGGGGAGGTACCAGTGTCTGCATTTTATGTTTGCCTTCCTGTGAATCTTATATTGTATATCTTCTAAATAGCTTAGATTGTTTTTGAAATATTCAAAGGAAATATATGAAGGAGAGTTGAAGTGAGAGGTCCTCGGTGCTCTCTGAGCCTGGTTGTTTTCTTGCAGACTTTTCATTACCCAAAGTAGGTAACATCTAGTAAGGAGTGGGATTTGCTCTCAGTTTATATTCTAGTGGCTTGCCCTATTAGTGTTGGTGGGGGTGGTCTTAGAGGTTCTTTGGTTGGGCTGTTTACTGTTGGCTTGTTTGGTCAACCCAATACAGCACAATCAACACAAGCCCTAAAAAGAATAACACTGCTATACATCAAGAACATCTCAGAAACCACCAACAAACACATGGAATCAGCATAGCACACAAGCCAACTAAAGCCCTTCAAAACATCCTAAGCAAACCAAAAGACTCAGCAGCCCCAGAAGAAAAAAAACAGAGTCATCTACAACATAAAGTGTAATGATTGCAACAACTACTATATGTAGGACAAAAAGGTAGAAAATTGGCGGAACACATCCATGAACGCCAACTAGCATAATCTGAAGACATGATGAAAACTCTTTAACAACATATGGACAGACTTAACCATACTTTCAATTGGGAAACTGTAATCATCCTAGACCAAGCCAAAAATGCTAGGAAGTTTCTAGAAGCCTGGCTCTCTGGCAAATTAGTCATCAATAGACACATAGACATAATATCTATAAACTATGCAAAAGAGACAACCAGCAAACCAAAAGGGAACAAAAAGACCTAAGCACCTCTCCACCAGCAATTAGCACCCAGATGAACATAGATTAACTCCAAGATTAACATTAGAACAACAATCAAATAAACAATACCCCAATCAAGAAACTGCCAAACAAGCCAACAGTAAACAGCCCAACCAAAGAATCTCAGAGATCATCCCATGGCAAGCATTCAGCTTGCCATATTTTTATCTTGTATATTTTATTGATTCTATTATGCTTTCTTTGTTATGAATCACCCAGAGCTGTTGAGAGTTGAGCAGCCTACAAATTTAATGAACAGTGATTGGTCACATAGCCACCCAGATGTTTAGACTGGATTTGGCATTTTGTCCACTTACTGAATTTTTCCCAAGGATAGGAAGATGTTCTTTAATCAGGTTAAAGGTATTGTTGCAGGATGTAAGCTGTTCCAAGTAAAGCTGTGTTTTGCAATTTATGGATGGTGATCTTGTCATTACCGAAGGTGTTGAAGTGGTGCTGCAGATGTTTTGGAATTGCATCAGTGCATCTATTGCTATTGGTACTATCTTTGCTTTCTTGTGCCACATTCGTTCTACTTTTCAGGTCTTCATATTTTGTGATTTTCTCCAGTTCTTTCTGTCCTATTCTTCTTCTGCTGTTTCCAGGTATTGCAATATCCAATATACAGATTATTTTTGTCTTTCTTATTGACAGTTATTAAGTCTGGAGTGTTATGTGTCAGGTACTTGTCTGTTCAAATTCTAAAGTTCTAATCTAAAGCATTTCAGCTTCTACTGTACATTTTCTACATTTTGTCTATTTTATGGTCTCAACAGCACTTGCTTGCAGGCAAAGGGCATTTCTTGCAGATATTCCAGTGCATCATTGTTGCTATTTTTTCATGGTGTTGTTTGTAGTCGGTCTGTGGAATCTTCTCGCAGTAGTTAATTAGATGGTCCACTATTTCTTCAACTTCTTTGAAGAGACAGAATATGCTGTCTGTTGCTATCTTCTTAATTCTGGCTTTGTATGCATTTGTTCCTAAGGCTTGGTCTTGTACTGTACTGGTCTTGTACTCTGTGTCTTTCTTCAGTTTTTCTGCTCTTAGTCAGTGCAAGATCTTGTTGTTATCTGTTTTGTCAGGTGGTTTTATCATTATTATTATGGTTGATTGAACAGTGAGGCAAGTGTTTAGATTGGATTTGGCATTTTATCCGAAAATTATTATATTATTATTATATTTAAGAATAAAAGAGATCAGATGTGAGCAACCTGACAGTGAGACTACTAATACAAACATTGTAACATTGATAGGAAAAATGAACAAAAATACAGACATGCTGTTGGTTTTTCACATTAATTTTCTCATCTTACAATTTATATGGCCACTCATCTCATATAAATGAATTTGGGTGGCATGCAAAAGTTAAAATCAAACAGTAAAATGAAATCAACTATCCAAACCACAAATGTTTGAGATCAAAGAAATCATTCCCAACTTATAACTGAAAAGAAACCAATAAATCCAATAAAACCAATAAATCAGCACAGCTCGCTTAGTTTCCTTGCCCAAATATTTGAGACAACAGCCAGGTCTTTATTAATATCATGTAAAGAAAATACAGTTATCTAATCAACACTTTATGTGGATTTAATTTAATTATGGTTTCTTTCCTTTAGAAATATGGTTATACTCATCTTTCTGCGGGTGACCTCCTTCGAGATGAGAGAAAAAGACCAGGCTCTCAGTATGGAGAACTTATTGAAAATTATATTAAGGATGGGAAGATTGTACCTGTACAAATAACAATCAGCTTGTTAAAGAGGGTAAGTTTAATTCAATTTCCCATATAAATCTAAAACAAAACATTAAGGTATTTATGTACTTTAATTTGACTTTTAGTAGTAAAATACCATATATGACAGATGGATTACCCTTTTCATGAAATAATGCTTTTCTTTTTATGAGCATAGATAAATCCATGAATAGATAATTATTCAAAATAATTTCATTAGATATTGTCAGGCCCAAGAACCAAGAAACATATGTGGTGATTCTTCCAAGCAGAGTTCTTTATTGTTCCATACTTACAGATAGACTCTTGCCAAACTGAAGCACTCTACTATCTATAACAAGCATATATTCTGAGAACTATTAGGGAGAGTCTGTTTTCACCCTCTTTGTTTCACACAAAATATCTGGACTGAGCTGCCTCTTATTTCTCTGGAATGCACCCCTTCCTCCTGATAATCCAACCTATTACATTTCAGCACAGATATGTGTTACTTCTCTTTTCGTGATAAAGACAACATTCTGGGCTGAAGCACTCTATTTCAGTGACATGTGTACCTCCTCTGATATACTTTGACCTAAAGTAGATCTGAAGTATATTATGTTTTGTAAACTGAATCTTTCCAGTTTCTTCAAATGAAAAAATCCCAAACTACAGAAGAGGCAGTAGTATTATGAGGGACAGATTATCTTCTTGTCTTCTAACCAAATAGAGATATAATCAATACGTTTGAGAGAGACAATAAAGCAATATTCAAAAACTGTTGAATAAGTTTTGTACTTCAGTAGCTTTGGTGATTACAGAGCATAAAAAGAAAAATCTAAAATTTCATTTGCAAGTCAACATAATTCCTTAATTCCTGATTTCTTGACAGTTGTTTTCCTTGGAATATGCAAAGATGTATTTCTGTACTGTTCATTGTAGTCAAAGTTCCTCAGAGAATGTCATTTTTGTAAATCTAGGATTACCAGAATGGGACACACCAGAGTGTGGAAAGCCCCCAAATGTATCAAAGAGTTATCATAGTGGTTGTCACGCTTTTTGCCACCCAGATTTGGAAACCATATTCGACCTTACCCTTAAAGTAACCCTACATTTTTTTTTGAAACTTGGCAGATGTTATTCAAGTAGAAGTATCCATATCATTCCAATTAGAACTGTTTTATTGATTGCATACAGTATATTATTGTCTTGTGTCATGTTTTAATCTAAAATATTATTCTATAGGCTATGGATGAAACTATGGCAGCTAACTCTCAGAGGAATAAATTCCTAATTGATGGATTTCCCAGAAATGAAGATAATCTTCAGGGCTGGAACAAAACAATGGATGAAAAAGCGGATGTATCTTTTGTTCTCTTTTTTGACTGTGATAATGAGGTAACACTAATACATTTCTTCTTATACAGAACAATAAAGACTATTAGGTTTCTCACTTACATATTACACATCAGGATTTAAGTTAGTTAATATTCAAATGTCTTGTTATTTTTCCCCAGGATGTTTATGTAATTGTTTGGCAAGCTGAAAAATATTATGTTCTCCTGGAGTAATTATTGTACCAGATATTATTTTATTATTATTTTTATTATTATTTATTGAATTTATATCCCGCCCTTCTCCTTGCAGACTCAGGGCGGCTGACAATCAGTTAAAAAATACACCAATAACAATTACAAAATTAAAATTAGTTAAAAAGAAATATTTAAATGTTGTCTAATTAAAATATGATTAAAAACCCCTCTAAAAATTGCCCTAGGCCAGTCCCGCTTGTTGGAATAGCC